ATATTTTGACAGCACTGTTTACTTATAAATTAATTTCAACCTGAACAAAGCGAAGTCTTCTCTTACTAGGACACAAATTACAACAAATATCAATTTTTATAATTACAAATTGAATGTATATCATTATTGAATTATGAAAATTAATGTTTATGATATGAGTATATGTATATTTACCTTAAACCAATAAATAGACTCAGCTCGAGAATCTTTTATATTCTGTAACATTTACTTAACTTTGCTTTGCCGACGGTCATATAGCCGGCGGCGTCTGTGCTTGCAACATTATGTGGCACTAAATATTTGGCAATTGATGGACTGAGACATGGACATAGCTGTGCACTCATCCAAGGGGCAGGGCGTGTACAAACACTTGTGGCGTCTACCATACTAATTTCACTGCCCGAAGAATGGCACGCTTGATGGTCACACAATTACGGATGTAATAAAGTAATTTGCCGTAATTGCAATCGAGCCGAAAGGGCGGCAGCTGCGACGCCCGTTCGCTAAGAAGCTGCCACCGCGTAAAAGTTTGTCTTTGAGCAAGTCAACAACATTCAGCTCGAGCAACCAGCCCTCTACCCGGCCATACACACCCCTTTCAGCTGTAGGTCTTTGTTTAACAAACTTTGAGCCGAGTTCGAGCTGCCACCCATGTACTCCCTTTGACCGTCTGATAATGTGTGACAATGTCTTGAGCACTTGCCGTGCACAGAGGGAGATTTTAATTTAGCTCGGGCTTACCTGAGCAACTGGCTAAAACGCTAAAGTGAGAGCGAGAGAGATTTTTGCTCTCCTTTGACTTTGTTCCAATTTTGCATAGGAAAGTACTTAATTATTGCCGCCAGCTCGTTGCCGCAGCTCTCTGTGGGTGGCGTGTCCGTTCTATCCTTTCAGCAGGTCCTGAGTTATGATGTCTTTATGACGCCTTTGTCTGCCCTGGCAGACCTTCCTGCCTTGTCCAATCCTTTTGTGTGGTAATGAGCAAGTTAATTCTTATTATTATGGTTATTATGTGTGTGTAGCATTTGCTTCTGTTCACTCTGATTCGCTTGCGTGGGCGAGGCGCTCATAAACATGGCCCATCCTCAACAAGTGTTGAGCAATCGAGCCAAATAAACATGGAGCACATAAAATGAGTCTATAAAAACAAATAGCGGGGCATGTGGCTGCCAAGTGTCGACCCCCTTTGGATAAACAAACGCCGCCTTCGAGCGCCCCTCAACACATATCGTGTGGCACCTCACAGACCTCAGCTACAACTGCTCTATGCAAGCTGCCATTGGGAGCCAGTGGGTCTCCGGTTCTTTACCATGGATCTTCGTGCAGGCTGCCATGCTGCGAATATTTCTACATTTGTTTTTGTTTTTGAAGATTTTCAAGCGCTGAATAAATAAACAAATGCATCGATGTACAAGGTTTGATGCTTTCTCACCAAAATCGTGTTTAGTTATTTGTTTTGAAAATAGCTGCTACATTTTTTAAATACATGAGCTCTGGAGGCATTAAGGCCAGAGCCAAAACAAGCATATGTTGATTTTATTTAAATAAAGCTCTTAAAAATTCAACTCAAGTCTAACAAAAATTGTGTTGTTCAAATTGAAACGTTTTTAATGAAGAATCTTATGTGTGGTATGTATTTAAATATATATATATATATATATATATATATAATATATATATATATATATATATATATATATATATATAATATATTATATATTATACATATTAAAATAAAAATAATTTTAAAGGCGATTATAAGCGGCTCTGTAATTAGGATTAAGGAGCAATATATGTTAAATAGGATATCGCAAGGACAGTCCTTTGGCACTGACTCCTTGGTTCAATCTCTCTCGGCACTTACAACCAATTAGGAACTCTTTTGTATTGGGTATTCTTCCACTTCCTGGCGGTGGCTATTCAATAATTATAAATCAATATGAATTCAATAATGGGCTCTTACAATTATTATCTGTAAATGCAAACTGAAACTCACTTCAAGCAGCAACAGCAACAACAATTGAGTTGATGGCACACTCAAAGGGGGGAAAAAATAACAAAATTCAAACAATTTTCAAGTGTTGCCAACTTAATTAAGTCACAAAATTTATGAGCTCCTTCTGGCTGGCAGCGCTGCCAATGATTATGGGCGCACGCACACCACCACCACACACACACAGACACACAAATTTGACTTTCAATATCAAATACAAATATGCGCGGGAGTGAGAGCAACTCAATTGACACGCGTCGACCCGCGCCACTTACGAAACGGCATATCCATTTCATGTAGATAGGGCTCCCCCAACAACAGCAACAGCAACAGCAACCACAACAACAACTGCTCCAAACTCCGCAAATGAAGCCGTTCGCATTCCTGTGCCCCACAGCTCGAAGGCAGCTCATTGAATCTGTTTCTGTATCTGAATGTGAGCTCGAATCGAGGGAAGCAGCGCCAAATGGCGACGATCGATTTTAACGATTTGTTTTGATATTTTTACGATTATGGGGCATCGTTTGCACAACATAAATAGAACATAAAACTCACATCACATGGCGGGTCACAGAGAGTTTCTGCGCCGAGGCGTTCGAGTGGCAGGAGTCGCCTGTCGTCTCTGTTCAATTCAATTAATAATAAATTAGCTGAGGCTGAAAGAAATCTCAATGAATACTTCCATAGAACGATGTATGAATTGCACTTTGGTGGCTTTGTCGCATCGAGTTTTAATTGCCCACCGCAGCGCAGTATCCAAGCTGTAGAACGGAGCAGCACTTCGTCCTGCTGTTTTCGAGTTCCTTTTGCATCATCGTAAATCATAAGCGCCGCGTGCACATGAAACGCAACAGACAAAAAAGATGACAGAAATTGCATTTAAGCGTAATTTTTTTCTAAATATTTTTTGTGCGTTGTCCTTGTTGTTTTATGATGCGTTAGTTCTGCGTCCGCCCACATATGCAAACTACGCACTCTACGTGAATTGTTCGTGTCCTGCCAGCTGTCTGCTGCCTACTGCCTGCTGCCTGCTGCCTGCTGCCTGCCTCGGCGACAAATCTGGAGCAAAGCATAATTTCGAGTCTGTATTTTTTTGTGTGTTTGCTCTACTCCTGGCGAATATTTTGTCTGAATTTATGATTTATGGCATACGGTACAGGATGCTTAGACAGCGGCAAGTGTGGCATGCAACACAGCAAAAACTCAGCATATGAGCCACACTTTCGCAATGTGGCTAAGAAATGAATATTCGAATCGATAAATCAGGACATATGTTGCCATTACCTCGCTTCGTATTCCTGGTACTTGCTCAAGGTATTGCCAAAATGATCTTAATTGGCATTTAGATTAAAGAAAAGATCTTCATAAAGCAAACGATATAAACGAGTAGAAGAAGAATTTAAAGCCTATTCGAGCTACAAAAAAGGTGGGGCAACCTTTGGAAAAATGTTAGGCAAGATATGATGGTTTGATTTGTCTGGTAAAATTTCCTTTGTATGATTGAGACTATGGAAACCATTTGTTGTAGTCGACAGACATTAAAAAGCAAAGTTCGTGGTGGAAAGGCTGGCAGCACACATCAAAATATAGTTGAATTTGAAATACGTTTTCATGTTGACCTTTATTTTCGACCCGTGTCTAACTTATTATATATTAACTAGTGGCCAGTGGCTAACTATATATATTTATATATTATGTATTATATTAATTGTCTATCTACAACTCAGACAAATCCAAAATTATTTGAAGTTCATAATTTGGCTTCTATGCCACAAGATGTTGCCTCTTAAATTACACAGTCTTCAACATTTTATTAGATGCAGACATCTGTATGCGTTTGTGAGTTCTTATAAATGTGACAAAAGTCACGTGCGGTTGCCGAGTCTTATGCATTTTTCATATTAAAATAGAATATGGATGCTCGTCTAGCTGCGCTTGGTAGCTCTTCCTGGCTCCCTCTCGCCAGAAGATCCCTGCGGCCATATGTTTGCAGTGGAATCAAAATGGCGGCCGTTAGCTGTGTGGCTGCCACATGTGGGTGCAGCTATACGAATCCGAATGCGAGCTATGAGTGCTGCTGTTGATAGATATGCAGGCAACCCAATTTTCCCATGTCCTTTGGCAGAAGGAAGTGTTTGCTTAAACCCCCGATGCTGGGGCTAACATGCCGAGATGCGTAGCAGCATTCAATTGTGCATGCCTGTCTGCAGCCCTCCCTTTCAGTCAGAGCTGCTGCAGTTGCTGATAAGTCGGAATCGAGCACAAATCGATTGCCCCATCGCTGCGTGTGCAACATGATAAATGTGCGTGTTATCCTCCTTTATAGCAGTTGTCAGTTGCAAATGAATACCAGCAACAACAACAACGGCAACGACAGTTGTCGATACACATGCGCCACGTCACGTTAGTGCCTCGCCAAATACCAGACCCAGATCCCACTCAACTGGAACGAACGTTTCTATTGAAGTATTCCAGATAAAACTCCATGTCAACCAGAACTTTAAAATATTGATAAGGTATTTTATTTAGCATGAAGTCGAATGCTTTATTACAGCTTTGTATTATCTGCAGTTTAGCGTACATGAGTCATAGAAAAGAGATAGTCAATATATAGAATATACATTAATATATTGTAATATTATTCTAGCTATTATTGAGACCAGTCCTCTTTTGTTTGTTAACATGTCCATGAAAGGGATTTGAGTTGGACTTCCAACATCTCTGTATTCTGCAGCTCTCCTTCCATTCCAAATTTGGTTACTGCATGAGCAACTCCTTTGGATTTTAATCTCTTGTAATTTAAAATGCATTTCCGTATAAAAAAGTTAAAAAGGATAAATGTTTTACCAACTGTATGTATATCAAGTTTCGTATTAATTTAACAAAAATACAATGCAAAGATAATGAATGAGCTTAAGAATCAACCGAAATGCCTCTATAGTAGTGAATACACTAAAATTTTCCCATCAATGAAACCTAAACGGAAAAAATAGGAATGCATTTTTGACATGTTGACAATTTAATGAAATATATCAACTCTGAGGTGGAATGCGATTTCAGCAAGTGCTCTCCGATCTGCCGATACGTGAACTAAATATCCTCAACGGGTTCGTAGATGATGTAGCTGACGTGTCCCTCTTTCTCATCCGGTGCGATGCGCTCCAGTGTGGCCACCAGCAGCTCGTTCACATTCAGCTCCCGCAGAAGATCCATCATCATCATATAGGAGATGCGCAGCATGGGTGTGCCCTCTCTGCGCCACTGTTCGATCAGTTCCGTATTGGCGGCCAGCTCCTCGTCGCTGCTGAATATGTGATAGTTGATGCGGCAGCCTCGATAGCCACGCACCTTCACCTCGTGTACCGGCTTCGAATCGCTGTGGCGCTGGCGTTTAGCCTTTGGCTCACTGTCATCATCGTCACTGGTTTCGATGGCTGCGAAGGCGCTGTCGCTGCTGCTTTCGGTGCTGCTCTCGGTGCTGCTGTCGCAGTCCTCGTTAGTCTCCTCGTCGTCATCGTCGAAGCTGTCCTTCTGACTGCTGCTGACATTGAGATCCTCGATCAGCGATAGCTTGGAGCGCAGCAGATGCAGCTGGCTAGTATCCACTAAAAGCAGCATGTAATGCAGCTGACCATCCGGTCGGACTGTCTTTAGAAATAGCCTCGTCTTGTCCTCGCTAATGGGAACGGCATCTTGCAGCAGGTGCAGCATTAGCTGAGAGACCGTCAGTTGGCCAAAGAGCTTCTCTAGACGCCCCTCGGGCAGCTCATCTCGACCACCCGGCGCCACCCAGAGCGTATCCACGTACAGCTGCACGGCTACCTTCTCGCCTAGCGACTCGCCCACCAACTGCAAACAGCGGGCACAATGAACATGCCCGCCACACTGAATAACACGTTTGCTCAGAACTTTGGGACTTATCACAATATAGTTGAGGGCATAGTATAGCTCGCCCTCATCAAGGAATGTCGGTAACTTATTGCTAGGACAGAAGTACTTCAGCGGCTCCATGGTGTGAATGGGCATGGGACGAATGCAGCTGAAACGTCGCTCGGTTACTAGTTCGTTGTAGCAATTGCTGCAGTGCAGCCCACAAGCCATGGATTCGTTAAGGAGTAGTCGCAATTCCTCTATGGAAACATCCACAGTTTGTTGGTCGAGCGCTGCATCGTTGATATGAACTAGACTGAGCTTTAGGGCTGTCGCATTGTTAGTCTCCTTGTCAACTGTGATGCCCGCTTCGGGGTTTGTGTTGATCTCAAAGAAGTTGCCGAGGGGCGTGAATTGCTCAAAGTCACGCTCGATCCAGCGTATGCCATTGGAGCTCACGTCGATGCGTCTGCTCTGCTGCCTGGCCTTGTCCTCGTCCGGGGTATTGAGCATCAGCACATTTATCCATTTGCTGGTGCGCATCAGCGATATGACAATCAGTTCCAGCGGCATGATGACGGAGTATGGCACTGCCGAATATTCTGTCAAAGAGTTTCACACAACTTTCTGATTGACAGATGGATTAGCCAAAAGGCTGCTAGGATTGTATTACAAAGAGCTTTAGCGCATTTGAGTGCTGCTAAATGCAAGTAAATGAAATGTATAGCTTAAGAATTATAACCAATTAATTTATCCGCTTCAAAGCAAACGTTCAACAAAATTCAACACTTTTCAAAAGCTAACTGACACCCACAGGTGAATAATTGAAACAGAGATTTTTACCTATTTTAAAAATTACAGCATAGGCTCCTAAGTCGAATAATCCAAAAAGGTATGAAATACTTGATGCACCTAGAGAGAGCTGAGTCAGTAATCGTTGTAGTCTCTTAGCTTCGGTAAGACACTAATCAGTTCCAAGGTTAATTATGTATAGAATGATTACAATTTCATATATTATAATTACTTTTCCCAAAGAAATTGTTAAATTTTTTTAAAATATATATTAAAATTTTAATTTATTTATTTTTTTACTGACTATGATTAGCTAACAACAAACAGCTCAAGTATTTACAATTCATATAAAATATTTTAATATTTTTCGTATCATTTATTATATTATACAGCTTATATTATATATTATATTATATTATATTATATATTATATTACCTAAGTTATTATTATGCGATATTTATGTTGTTGTGTTTTATAGGATATGTAGCAGCTATGATGGTGGCCATGGCCTGAAATGCTGACTCCTACGAAATGCATTTTACCGTCGTATAGTCGCACCACACACGGAAACGAAATAAATCGAGAGCGAAATGAATGGCCTCAAAAGGATGAATGGTCAGTTTGAAGGCAAGACAGAAAAAATATAAAAACAACAATAAAAGTAACAGCAGCAACAACAACTGCTGGTAAACTACGAAAAGCAAAAATATTGAAACGAAAAATACAACTGACAAAATTTTATTTCGTTTTATTTGCAAAGCGGAGCACTCCATAAATTTTCGGGCGCTCAATATTGTTTCAGATCATAAATCATGGCTGCATTTGCGTACGGACGTACATTTCAAACACACAAGCACACACACACGCACACACATATGTACACACACGCAGCTGCATTCGTATGGCAGAAGGTTTGAGGCAGTGGAAACTCGGGTACTCCGTCTGCATCTGCAATGGCACAGACACCGACAAAATGTACCTTGTATCTGACATTGGGCTGCAGATGCAGATGCACTGCAAAAAAGCGCACACTAAAACAACAACAACAATAACAATAACAACAACAACAACAACAACAACAACAACAACAACAACAACAACAACAACAACAACAACAACAACAACAACAACAACAACAACAACAACAACAACAACAACAACGACAACAATAGCAACAAGCATTCATAGTGCATTTGTATAAAGTCAATGCCGCTGCACTTGTGCCCCGGCGTATCCGCATCCGCATCACGAGCTGCACCCCTGACCCCACCCCTCTTTGCGTTGGCGTATGGCATGCAAATGTAGAGGAGAAAGGAGGGGTGTCTATAGGCTGGCCAACTGAAGTGGTCTGCAAATTCACATTAACGCAAATTCCGTAAGTGAAGTATGTTGCATTTGCCGCACGTAAATTTAAAAAGCGCGGCACAATAACAAAACATCGCTCGCTTATTTACAGAATACACAGATACATATACAAGCATAGACACAGACACAGATATACATATACATATACATTTACAGCTGTGCCTGGATTTGGCGGAGTCTACGTCACACAGTCGGAATCGGAGCTGGAGTAATTGAAGGAGTCAGTTCTCTGTAGCCAGCCACAGCTACTGCAGCTGCATAGGCATTCGCATTCACATTCGCACTCACATATTTGAGATACATAAATCTTGTGGATGAGCGTGTGGCACTGTTGCCGGACAGCCAGCCAAGTGGGCGGCTGCTGGGCTAGAAGTTGGCTCACTGGCGATTGGGGATCAGCAGCAGCTGCGATGCACTCGGCGTGGGTGAAAATATTGAAAATATTTGGCTATAGAAAAGCAGCACCAAGCAAAAGAACAGAACTCGCCGCAGACTAAATTGAAACTCCGAACTATTGTCTATTGGCATTCAAAAGGTATTAAGCTAGCTTCATGGCAATAGAATCGAAATCTTTAGAAAAAGGAAAATACAGACCAGATCGATGTTGAACAGTAATAACAATATATATGAAGCTTTCAAAAATATAGTTAATATACTAATATTTGACTTAATATATTAGAGTACCTTAACATCTTTTTTTTAATTTGATATTTTTCAGACTGTTTCATATTTGACATATAGCAGAGAAAGACTTCGTTCTAAATCAAAAACTTCATTATATTGATTGATTTTATGTAGAATATCAAACTATATACAACTTAAGATGTGTGCTTCTGTATTTCAGAAGAGCTATATCGTACATTTCTATAAGTATATTTTCACTTAATAACTTTCAGCTTTCTTCACTTTGCTTTCTTTTGGTTTTATTAATATAGCATATATAAATTGAGCACTATTCAACGCTCCTCATATGCCCCATAAGCCACGTAGACCATCACCAATTAAACCCATAAAAAATGTCAATGCTGATAAATTCGCTTGCCAAAACATTGCTGCCACTTAAACCCTGTCCTTCGGTCTCCCTTTCTCCACTCCGATGTGGAAGGTGGCCAACTGCAATCCTTTACCTTTAACCGACTACAGATGGCGCTTTAACACGATGGCAATCCATCTGCGGCGCTAATAAAAGATTTCGCTAAATTGATACTGTCGATGGAGTAATTAAACTGCAATTTTTATGAGACATGTCGGACAGAGGCCGCTGCTATCAGAGATCGAATAAATTATATTCACTGGCTATTGGACGCACTCTCCCTCTTTCTCGCCCTTTCTCTCTTGCGCGCACACACACACACGCAGAGTGTGTGTCTCCTGTGCATTGTTGCTGGCCGTATACGCTGGCTCGTTCGTTTCCACGGTAAATTTTCCGATGCAATTTTCCCATATTCCGGCTTTTGTTCCGGCTGCGTCGCTGATTCCGACTCTCAGCTCGCGCTGCATTTTGCTTTTGGCACGCAAATAAATTTTTGCCCAAAGTTTTGAACTCGTCTGATTGCATTTTAATTTCCCGTCTTTGCTTTTGTATTGAATTGCAGCTCGTACGCTTGGCCTGGCACGAACTTCGTTATTGCCAGCTAATCAGTGTCGCCTCCCACCTGCTGCTCCTCTCCCTTCCACTCCTTCGGCAGAGCCGAGTAGAAAGTGGGCCTGGCACACATTCAAATGATTTCAAATGCAAATTGCAAACAGCTCCAGATTGTAATAAAAGAATGTATATAAAAAAATGGTCTCGCCATGAAGTTGTTAATTTTTATGACGTCATTACTCGCCTCGTAAAATCCGCTCAACAGTTGGTCGTCTGCTCCGTAGAGCAACAGGCGCTGGCAATGAAGCCTCAATTTTATGAGCTTGATGGGACAGGAACTGGAACTGGAACTGGTACAGGGACTGGTACTTGTGTTTTTGTTTGCGTTTGGGTTTGGAAATCTCCGCAAGTCAACTCGAAAGTTGCGAGCTTTATTTGCAACCGGAATTTTATTGTTATTGCACCATTTATGACTTTTACGAGATTCGCCTGGTTTTCCTGCTCGCTTCTAATTTGGGGCCCATTGTTTTGAGCTTATTTGCCCGCTCACTTGTCACGCTGAGCCCATGAATCAAATGCGTCCTTGCATTGGTGACATTTTAACGCCAGACACGAAAGGTTACAGTCGAACGAAAACTTGTGAACTTTAGCCGATTTAAATAGGTGTGAAAATGTTAAAATTCATGACATTGGTCGATTGTCGTGGGAAATTCGCTTTTGAGATTTACCTTGACAAAATCCAAATTAATGGTGTTAATTAGACACCCCAGACTTTTCTTTATGAATAGAAATAGGAAGTTTAATCTATAATATATTATTTAAAATATTTATTTAGCTTTCTCAGAGTTAAAATTAGTAAATAATTAATATTATAAAATTTAATAACAACTTTGTCTTTAAAGCCTAATTAAGTTTTATATGAATTATGATCCGCTCATATTTGGCATCCGTTCACTTGCTCTCTTTCATCGGATGCTTGGCTCTGTCAAGGAATTGAATTTCCGGTAATTTAAGGCCTTCATATTAGATAATTGTGAAGGAGGTGAAATTGAGGTGTTGCTGTCATTCAATCTTCCGCCCACCCGCTGGCTGGAACATTTATGCGCCATGTTCTTACTTATATTTTTATAGCCGCTCCTTGCAACTCAAAACCACAACCACACACACACACACAATCAAGCGACTAGAACGGGCTCCATAGACTCAGACGTTCACCTCGACACATACTCGAAAAGTGAACGAGCAGCATATTTAAAACATGGATTCTTAATTAGTAGCAAATGTATCCCATTTGCATTTTTTTACACGTTGCCAACGCGATTCACGTACACATGTATACACAGAGGTATAGCCGAACTACGGGCTGTGCGCTAGTTAACACGCCCTGGATGGCAGGCCCAACCACTCCTCGAGCCGGGACCAAATTAGTCGAGAGCCCGAAGCTGAGTTGCGTGCTGCTTGCTGCTTGCCGACTTGAGCGCGGTCCCCATTCGCTGTTGTTGCCGACAGTGCGTCTCATAATGCGCGCTAATTAATCCTGCAAGGATCGGATTTTCCCGACGTAATTATATTTACAGCCGCCATGCGAGCTTAGCAGCAGCAAGGACAACAACAGCAGGAAGCAGTAAGCTGGAGCAGGAGTTGGAGCTGGAGTACGGGAAGCTCATCCTAGGCAGAGTGTATAGGAGGGATTTTATGATGTACAGCGACGTTTTGTATATAAGGGAAAGCAGGCTCCACACACCCAATGGCAACAGCCTGGCAGCAACGGCAGCTGAAACATGCGAGTTGCTGGCGTGAAAGGATACGCGAGAATATTAAATTAATTTTTAAGTGCGTGCAGAAGACGCAGCCGAAGGCAACAGCAAAGCCAAGACGAAGCGAAGACGAACAAAGCAGCAAAAAATTAATGCGCTTTTCTTGCTTGCGTCTATTGTCTGGTGGCAGAAAAACTTTCAGCATATTTCAGAACTCGATTACAGGGTGATTCGAATGAATTATAAATTTAATAAATACAATCTTAATAAGAGCTTAATTGATTTTGCCATTTAAATAAA